ATGCAAGAGGCTTTGAGAAGTACAGTGATTTGCCATAGTCACACAACTAATACCATATGGGATTTGAATCCAGGACTTTTCTGACCCCAAGTCCAATACTCTTTCCACCATATTTTGCTACCTCTTATTAAGAATGAATAGTATTAGTTATAATAATACATTTTAATATTATACTTTATAGTATTATATTACCTAATATAAGATATTTACTGTTATTATACATTTTCATACTAGAGCTATGATTCCATTGGCATAGGGAACTCCCAGTGAGGAAATCCCTTCTATCAATGCATATTGACAGCTATTCTGCAACTTTATAGTCTTAGAGAGTTACCTGAGGGTAATGAGAATTTATGGGGGCAGCTAGGTAGTACAGTGGATAGAGTGTAGAGTCTAGAGTCAAGAGAACCTGAGTTCAAATCCAGGATCAGACATTTACTACCTGTGTGACTCTGGGAAAATCACTTAACTTCTACTTGCTTCAGTCTCCTCAACTGTAAAATGGGGACCCTAGAGAGGGAAATGGCAAATCATTCCAGTATCTTTGCCAAAAAACCCATAAAAATGGAATCAAGAAGAGCTGGACAGTTGACCCATTGTGACCAATTTTATGTTTTCATGGAGGTTTTCTACCTGTGGGAAAAAAAGTCAAATATTGCTTTCTGGTCATATCCTTGCGATCCTTTTGAGAAAGTGCAACTGCTTTGCTTCTCTAGCACTTAGTGTAGTAGACACTTGTTGCTCCTTCTTTGTGTGTGTGTGTGTGTGTGGCAATTGGGGTTATGTGACTTGCCCAAGGTTGCACAGCTAGTGAGTGTTATGTGTCTGAGGCCAGATTTGAACTCAGATCCTCCTGACTCCAGAGCCAGTGCTCTATCTACTGCACCACCTAGCTGCCCCTCCTCCTTTGTTTTTGAAGAAGACCACTGACATCATGGGGTGATGTCTTGACTTTGAATTGGTGAATTGGATTTAAGTGAGGTAGAGCTGAGAAGTCTCCAGCCTCACTCTCTCCTCCTGAAACTCAGGAGAACTTCAATGAAGTTCAAGTGGCAAGACAAAAGTCAGGACAACTGGGATGCAATGGATGACCTTGATGTCTTCAATGTCTGACCAAGCTCTAAGCTCTCCACAGTGCCTGCTTTAGCAGCTCTCAAGGCTGTGTTCATCTGTCCATTCTGCCAGGGGAAGTCTTCACATGCTTGGGGTAGACATCCCCTTACCTCACTGACAGGTTTGAGGCCCGTCAGTTATCCTCAACCTAGTTTAGCTCATCTGACAAATGGGTTTACTGGGGTATGGCCTTCCATGATACAGCTTGAGTTGAATTGGGTGAAAGTGGGCACCAAAGGTGTATGAGCAGCCCTAAAAAGGGTTCAGTAAGCTCTCATATCAGAAGTGCTAGTCCTTCCTGAACACAGTGGATATTGCGTGGATAGTGGATAGTAGCCACTTAATAAATGTTTGTTAGCTGATTTCTGGTGATTATTAAAAATAATGACTAGCATTCTAAGCTAGCTTAAAATTAATAGCTAGCACTTTAAAGTTTGCAAAACATTTTACCAATATGATTTCATTTCATCCTCAAAACAATCCTAAGAAGTAGGTGCTATTATTATACCATTTTCAGATAAGTAAACTGAGGCAGATAGCAGTTAAATGACTTGTTTAAAGTCCTATAGCTAATAAACTTATTTTTTTAATTCGTGGAATAAAACAAGCATTTCAATGATACAGTATAACAAAAATGATGATTGTAGCTAATCACAAGGCCACATTTGAACTCAGATCTTCTTGGCTTCAGGTCCAGTGCGCTGTCTACTATTCTACCTAGATGCCTCTGAACTGGAGAGGACCTTGGAGACTGGTATTACTACTACATTTTATGAATAAGGACACCGGCCCAGAGAATTTAAGGAACTTGCCTAAGATCACCCAGGGAGTGGTGGGGCTGGGACTAGATCCCAGATCATTTTGTTCCTAGCATAATGTTCTTTTCACTATACCACCATTCATCAGAAGATGAGTGCTTTCATCAGTGTGGATACTTCTTTTACTGGCTCAGATCACAGTGTCCGACATGCTTCTATGGATCATCTTAATTAGTTTTCATCAGGTCAATATAATTTGGGCTTTAGTGACCAACACTAGGGCAATTAGCCTCTTGGAACACTGTGAAGCTAGTTTGCTGTAATAGGACCTAGGTTCAGATCCAGTCTCTGCCTCTTCCTAACTTGTATGACCCTTCACCTCTCAGCACCTCGGTCTGCTCAGTTAAAACAAGGAGTTGTACTAAATGACTTCCAGGGTCTCTTCAAGCTTTATTCAAATTAATAATCCGGTAACAGTTGGTGTGATCCTAGTCTGTACATGATGTCTTTCCATTAGGGCAGGACTCGTAATAGCTTGTGCTCCCAGGACACAGCCTATAAAAACCAAGAGTCACCTCTATACTGTATTGACATAGGATATGGTGTAGCAGAAGGAGAGCTTGACATCCCCCCAGGTGAAAAAGGCAGGCTTTCCCCTCATTTTTGGGTTGCTATACTCCCACCCCACAGTAAAGCTCCAGAGAAAATATCTTAGCCAGTTAGTCAATAAGCAGGCAGTCAATAAACATTTATTATTAACTATTTATTAACCAAAGCTCAAGTATGGCATATATCTAAATCAAAGCTTAAATATGTTTTTCTCTAAAATCAATTAACAGGGTCACTTCTATAAAAGATACTCAACATATAGAGTAGATATTAGGTACAGGACAGCTATTTATTTCCTACCCTACAAAAGAAACATTTACACCCAAAAGATTTAACAAATAATTAAAACATAAAACAACAATCCAGGTAAAGAGAGGTAAAGGCAACTTTGTAGGATTGATGAACATATATTTTAGCATTCACTTAGGATCTATACCTTCCAAGCAACTCACAAGATCCAGGTCTTCTAGCCAGTCAGGGTATGCCTTGGGCTTTCTTTGTCAACTTTCTTGTAGTAGTCATTACCTCTTCTGAGCATTCCTGCTGGGCAGCTGGCACAAATTTAGTGCCTCATGAACTCATGAGGGGAATTGTCCATTTCTAGGGTTGCAGTTTGGTGACCTGGACTCAGAGAGAGAAAAAGACACAAAATAGACGAAGCAACCAGGGGATTGAGGTCCAGTCTCAGGCTCACCTAGCCAGATATATGTTCTTGTGGCCATGTCCTTGAGTTATGGCCACCATTGCTGGCGAAGAGGTGGAAGAGGAGAGAAATCTCCTGTCCATTCTTGTTGGATGTCCAAAGGAGAGGCCACCTAGGTCCCAAGAGACAGGATTAAAAGAAGGGGAAATAGAGAGGCAGAACCTTTCTCTTCTCATAGCCTATTGAGTGAGCAGCATTTCCAAGTTTAGTTGCAAAATATCTTTGATAAACAATCAATAAGCATTTATTTACATTTTGGTAGGCAATCAGGGTTAAGTGACTTGGCCCAGGGTCACACAGCTAGTAAGTGTTGCGTGTTTTGTGTCTGAGATCAAATTTGAACTTGGGTCCTCTTGACTAAGGTTGGAGCTCTATCCACTGCGCCACCTAGCTGCCTCTTCAACAAGCATTTATTAAGGGCTTATTATATGCCAGGTACCATCCTAAAAGCTGAGGATAAAAAGAAAAAGTGAAAACAGTTCCTATACTCATTCTACAGAACTCCTCATTTAGGGACTCTGTGAAGGATTGCTTGGTCACCCCAGAGTTTAAGTCTTTCAGTAATGAGTCAGAGCACACACCTGTCCCTGGGAACTAGCGTGCATGTCCAGACCCTTGGGAGATGCTCCAGTTGAGTAAGTCAAGGGAGCTTTCCTGATTGCTTCTGCTACACTCAGATTTGTGATTTCTCACAGGGCAGTAATATTCCATTGCATTAACTTACCGCAATTGCTTAGCCATTCCCCAAATGGAGGATTCCCCAAATGGCCTTCTACTTTATTTCTAGTTCTTTGCTACCACAAAAGCACTGCTATATGAATATTTTGGTGCATTTTCAATGTCTTCCCCCACAGATTCTTATTGAATAATCCCAGCTGTGCTACCTACTATTTCTGTGACATTAGGCAAGTCATTTAACTTCTGTGGCCCTCAATTTCCTCATCTGTAAAATGAAGGGATTGGACAAGATGTTTTCAATGATTCCTTCCATCTCTGCAGCTATGATCCTATGAATACCTCATCAAAGACACCAAAAACTCCAAAACGTTCCAATCCATGGCATTTTCAAATGAAGAATTTAATTTAAAAAAAAAACCCAACCCACAACAGCCAATCTTTGCCCTCAAGGGGCTTTTGTTCTTGTGGAAGTGGGGAACAAAATATAAGCAGATGAAGTATGAGGAGTACCAATGCAGAGAACAGAAAAAAAAAAGAGGTGGAAGCCTACAAGCTAAGATTTTAAGACAACTGTCTGCAAGTACTTAAAAGGGTTGTTTACAAGGAAGAGGGATCAGGCTTGTTACAGAGAGGCAGATTTTTGGCTTCATGTAACGAAAAACTTCCTAATATTGAAGCTATCCGAAAGTGGAATGCTTTGTCTTGTGAAACAACGGGCTCTCCTCTATTTGATGCCTTCAAGTCCTTTTGGGCTGGTATGTTATACGAGGGAATCTTTTCAAGGACTGACTGGACTAGATGGCTTTTGAGGTTCTTTCTAATCCTGTGATTCTCTGATAATATTGCGGAGAAGTCAGCACAGCTGTAGCAGGCTTGCTGCATCCCGGGGATGGAACACCCACGCAGCAACCTCAGGGCCCAGGTGAACAAGCTGGTACCCAAGCTCCACCCCTTTCAAAACTCTGTGGCTCGGGGGCTTCTACAGGAGATGCATCAGGCCGAGAAGGCCAACGGAGAGGCGTCGATTGGTGGACGAGGGCCAGGGGAAGGGTGCGGATTGGTTAGTAGGAGCCAATGGAGAGGGGCAGATTTGGCGGGTGAAGGCCAATAGCAAAGGCTACCGAGGCTTTAGGCCACGTGGTACCGGAGGCGGAGAGCGGAGAAGAGGCACTCATTTACCCCACCGGAAGTAGAGGCATTGTGGGGCGGAGGGCAGCCAGGTGCGTGGCAAGGGGTGAGCCCGGCTGGCGAAGACCTGACTCAGGATGGCCAAGGCCCAGGGCAGGAAGGGGCGAGTGGACCGGAGGGTGGGAGGGCAAAGCCGGGGGCGACGGGGCTGGTTTTAGGGAAAGTGTAGGAACCGGGCCAGGGACCCGGAAGGCCTTCTGAGGGCATGGGCTGCAGGGTTGGGAAGGGAGGAGAGAAAGGGAAGATGTGGAAAGAGATCCCTCTCTCATATTTCACAAATTCAAGCGATTTAGAACTAGAAGGGATCCTAGAGTTTATCCAGTCCAACTGCCTCATTTTACATCTAAGCAAACCGAGGCTCAGACAGTGTAAATGACTTGTCCAAGGTCACACAAGTAGTAGCAGAACTGGGATTCCAGTGGAAGTTCTCAGACCACAAATCCAGTGCTCTTTCTAGCACACCAAAAGTCATATATTTAAGCTGGAAAAGTTATGGTTGTTCTATCATGTATTTTATTGAATCTGTTTTTGTGAAATCTATTTTATACATCCTATCTAATTATACAATGTGTTGGTATTGGTAAGAGTGTTGGAGTTAGAGTCAGGAAGACCCGACCTTAAATCTCACCTTGAGATTTCGTGGTCCAGTGACTTGGCCTCTAGGTGCCTTATGAATTTCCAGGGACTTACTCACTAAGTCATAGATGACCCAATTGAAGTTGGAGAGAATCCCCATACTAGAAATTCCCTTCCAGTGAAATCATACTTTTTTCCCCAATGCAGTCTCAAATATCTATCTGTCTATCAACTACCTACCCTCCCCTATGCTCCATGTCTGTCTGTCTATCTATCTAATCACCTATCTACCTGTCTCCCTTTTTGAGGTTATAAAGTGATTCCCTGAAAACAACCCTATGAAGTACATGGTGATTCAGGTGAAGAAAACCGAGGCTTAGCGATTGTGATTCACCCAGTGTCACGCAGCTAGTGTCAGAGTTGGGGCTCAAAGCCAGCTCTGCTGACTCAAAGACCAGTGTGCTCTTTACCTTATAGTGTTCTTTCTAAGTGCTGTGCTGTAAAAATGTGGGTGGTTGAACTGCTGGAGAGATGATCTCTAATGTCTTTTCCAGCTCTGATAATCGAATCATACTTTCTATTTCACCAGTTCTCAGTGTGGTTGGAGGACCTCTGGGGCTTCAGGGAGTCTATGAGGTCGAAACTATAATACTAAGATGTTTTAACTCTGAATAAAGTAAATATTGATAAATGTAACCCCATAAACAAAAGCTTTTGGGGGGGAGGGGCTCAATAATTTTTAAGGGGATAAAAGGATCTGTCTTTGAGACCAAAAATTTTGAGAACTGCTGTTCTACGTTGACAGTGAGGATTTGGTTTAATAAGGTTTTAAACCCAAGTTAATAAGCTTCTGTTTTTAAGCAATTATTGCTTCTTTCATCAGTTGGAATAGTTGTAGTACGTTGGCTTTAAGTTAGGGACACCAGCCTTAGGCTATTGAAAACAAATGAGAATTCTCCTTGGAGAACAATGTTATAAATGGGACTACCAAGCATTCATTGGGTTATAAAGCTTTTTCCAAGTGTAGCAAGTGGGATCATAGAAAAGAAAAACCTGGAATTGCTGCTGATAATGAAGTGGTACTGCATTTGGCGTTTCTGTAGAATTTAATTGCATCCTACCTGCTACCTTAATGCTTAATCCCCTTCTCAAAACTCTTTGTGGTTTATCTTTGGCATTAGATTGACATTATATATTTGGTGGGGGAGGTAGCTGAAAATAATAAATGAATAAATTTTGCAGATGATCTGTTGGTTTTCATTCTCACTCTGTATTTTAATAGGTGAATAAGAAATAGCCATATAGTAAAATACTTTAAGAATCTGTGATTTCATTGCTGTGAGTACTCCCTCCATTATCTTCAAAACCTCTCTATGATTATCTGCTTTTTGAGAATTTCTGTGGACAAAATATTTGTTATCCTTAGGCCATATTTGGGCAACTAGGTGGCAAAGTGGATAGATTGCTTGGGCCTCAGGTCAGGAAGACTCATCTTTGTGAGTTAAATCTGGCCTCTTGACACTTACTTGCTGTGTGACCCCGGGCAAGTCATTTAACCATTTTCTTTAGTTCTTCATCAGTAAAATGAGCTACAGAAGGCAATGGCCAACCACTCCAGTATCTCTGCCAAGGATACCCTAAATGGGGTCATGGAGAGTCAGACACAATTGGAAAAATGGCTTAACAACAGACCATATCTAGTGAATCTGCTTAGATTAAGATTTTGAGAAATGGTTATACTAGTGAATAATTTTAGGGCTTTTGTCCAATTTTATCTAAACTATTCCTCCTTTTCTCTTGTATTGTTGAATATCCTCTTTAGTCAAAGAAACGTTTGAGCACATATTGTTACCATTAAATTACAGAGTATGGAAGAAAACTAAGGTCTTTCAATGACCAGTAGATGGACATAACTAATTCCTTAGCGCCATTGCTGGGTCTGGAGTTATCCTTACTACCTGATCCCTTGGGCTCCCCCACTGAGCTGCAGGTGAATAGCATCATAAGTACTTGGGTTTAGAGCTGGAAGGGACTTTAGAGGTCATCTAGGGCAGGCCAAACTGCTCATTCTTTAGATAAAAAAGCTGAGGCTCAGAATTTAAGAAACTGATCTAGGATCATGCTGCGAGTGTCAGAACCAGGACTAGAATCGCATCTTCATGCTCCGAGTGTAGTACTGTGTGGGTAATGAAAATCCAGAATGCAGTATACAGAATGTGTGATGGAAGGAAGAGCGCAGGGTATCAAGAAGCAAGGCTCCTGCCAGGCTCGAGGGGAGTGGGGTAGGACCGGGAACCCAGGCTTTGGGGGGAGGGCTTGCTTTTGTTGTTGTAGCTCCTAGACTGAGAGAAGAAACGGGAATGAGTTGTTAGGATGACCCTTATAGGAAAGATGTGGGTATTTAAAAGGCACAGCAATAGGAGGAGTGAGAAGTTCAAATGAGAGAGGAAAAGGACGCTTAGTAACAGAATAGATTGGGGTCCAGAAAACTAGTGGGAGGGGTTAGTTTTCTATAAGACATTAATTCTTAAACTTCTGAGGTAGACAGGCAGAAATAGTATATGTTAATAATAATACTTTATACTTATCTAGTGCTTTGTTTTTCCTTTTTTTTTTTTTTTTGGTTGAGGCAATTGGGGTTAAATGACTTGCCCAAGGCCACACAGCTAGTAAGTGTCAAGGGTCTGAAACCAGATTTGAACTCGGGTTCTCCTGACTCCAAAGCTGAAACTTTCTCCACTGTGCCTCCTAGCTGCCCACATTTATATAGTACTTTTAAGGTTTACACTGCTGTTTCCTCACAATGGCCCTGTGAGGTAGGTGATTCCAATATCATCACCCCCATTTTACAGATAAGGAAACTGAAGTTCAGAGATTTAAGTGATTTGCCTCAGGTGACTTAGCTGAATTCATACCCAGGTCTCCTGACTCTAGGCCCAATGCTACTTATGCTGTAATGAGGGTAGTGGTGGTGCTGATGCTGGGGGGACAATAGCACTCCTGACAGAAGTTTTCAATCTTACTAAAGGCTTCAGTTGTGAGAGTTTATAAGATTAGGTATAAAGAGACCAAATTTAGTTCTGGCTTTGATTCTTAATGAACTTTGTGACTTCGGACAAATCATTTCCAACTCTCATTCTTGAAAACTCCTTTTGACTCTAACAACATTCTGTAATTCCTTTGAATTCAGAAAGCTCTGAATCTTGGGTGCCATGGGATTTTCCCCATTTCTCTCCACATCTTCTATGATTGTGGTTGGGAACTTCTGGGATAAAATAGCACTGTGAAGATGAGTAATAAATTGTTATTTTGTAAATAGTGATCAGCATTTTTTGGGGGTAGACTTTAGGGAGAACCCTTTTCTAACTACTTTTCCTTGATTAGTGGTTAATAAGGGAATTATAATAGCACTTATCTCACAGGGTTCCTATAAGAATCGAATGAGATAACATGTAAAGTGCTATATAAATACTAGCTATTCTTACTGCCTTTTTTTTTAATATGGCAGCATTCAGTCCCATTTCACAGAGAGTATTGGGCTTTTTAGGGTTTGTGCTGGCACTTTCCAAATTCTGATTTTTCTGGCAGTAGTACCACCTGAGAAAGCCAGTCTTTGACATAACAACTTTCTATAATTAAACAAAACAAAAAATAAAACCCCAAGCCCAAAACATTTAGTTGTTTTCTGGGGAACTCAGCAGCGTTTCCAAAATTATTCTGGTAGACTGTGTGATGGAAATTGGGGTTTTATGGGAGAATTTTCATCTGTATTAAAGATATTTTCTCCCTGTGAAGTGTTAAATGTGAAATTACGTATCTCAAAAATACTGATCTTTGGCAGTTTTTCATCACAAAAGGAGTTATGATGTCTTCCATTTTCTACAAAAATTTCTTTTATCACAAAGTTATTTCATTTCTCTTAATATCCTGGATGCCCAGACCAGCATTTATGATTTTATCAATGTTTCAAGCTTAGAAATGTTCCTTGGCTAAATTAGTTTGAGGAAAACAGTTTTAATGATATTTCATTGGTTCTTGTAACATGGTAAGTACACATGAAATATTTGTTATTTGTAAGAACCTTTTCTACCAAAGAATTGGGGCACAGTTATTCGTTCTAGAAATTTGTATCAAGTATCAGCTTTATGTAATGAACTGTATTGGGCCTTGTGTGGGGTTCAAAGAAGAACAAAACATAGACCCTACCCTCAAAGAGCTTACGTTCTTATGTACCTATCTTTGGAATGCTGTACTATGCACAGGCCACACTCCAGTAAAACTGTCTTGGCAGATATGCTAAACCAGGCTGGGGGTAACTGATGGACCTCAAACCTGTCAGTGAGTTAGGGGGATGTTTACCCCAAGTATGTGAAGACTCTCCCCCTGCCCCTTCCTGAATGAATGGGTGAGAACAATTTGTTTCAATGGCTGCGAAGGTGACTGAAGCAGTCATTGT